GTTATTTCATGTGTGTTGAAAAAAAAACAAAAATAGAAAAAATAAATAGGTAGAAATAATTCTTCTTGGTTTTTCTTATGGCCGCGGTTCTTTTCCAAGGGATGTATCTTTGAACGGGGTAGTAATTATTTTCTTGTAGGTAGACTTTTTATAAAGTTTTGGACTTTTCCGGACGATGGACTTTCTGACAGTTTTCTTGAGGGTTTAAAGTCCAACGAAAAACACAAAAAGATTTTCATTATTTTTTCTTTTTGAATTGATAATGGAATGGGAAGAAGCTTGAGTAATTTTTGCTTTTAACTTGTTTTATATCGAGGCTTAGGTGCGGAGCATTTGAACTGAATACTTTCTTCATGGTCGTTATAATTACATGCCTTAACAATATGTGTGGCTTTATTTTGATACTGAGGCTCATCTTTTGACTCTTGTGATTAATTCACGGGTGCTTAAATTTTATGATGACTGTGCTAGTTGCTTTAACTTGAGAAAAAAAATGATCCCAAGGGACTTACCTCAAGAATCCCCTCGAAAACCCTCTCAAGAATCGCCTAAACCCTGCTTGAAATGTTTGAAATGAAGCCAAAATCGCGAACCCTTGTTTTAATAATCTGCTAAGGCTTTTCACACCTGCGACCAAATATTCGCACCTGCGAAACCGCTTCTGCAGTAAATCCTTTGCTTATGCGGATATCGCTTAAGTCCCCCAGGCCCGCATCTGCGCTCCAGGTTCCGCACTTGCGGAGCCGTTTATGCGGCCTTCCATCCGCTTCTGCAGAAACATGCCTCTCTCAACTCCGCATCTGCGAAGTCTCGCTCGCACCTGCGGGATCGCAGATGCGGTTAACCCCTCGCACATGCGGTCTGCCCAGGCCAACCCAGCTCCGCTTTTATGCCTTTAACGCCACATATGCGACCATGCATGTGCGGAAATAACCTCGCGCCTGCGACCTATACTCACTTCCTCCCTGGCCGCTTCTGCGGCTTCCTTCTCGCTTCTGCGAGAAAGCACCTGCGATCCCCACTCCGCAGGTGCAATTACACCAGAAACTGGTGAGCTTCAGCAATGCACTAAGTCCGCTTTTCGATCTATTAACCATCTCAAACCAACCCGAGGCCCCCGCGACCTCAACCAAACATACCAACGAGTCCTAAAACAGGATACAAACTTAGTCGAGCCCTCAAATCACCTCTAACAACATCTAAAACACGAATCGTACATAGATTCAAGCCTAATGAATTTTGAATTTCCAATTTCTACAAACGATGCTGAAACCTATCAAATCACGTCCGATTGACCCCAAATTTTGCACACAAATCACATTGTGTGCAATATTACGGACCTACTCCAACTTCCGGAATCGGAATCCGACCCCGATATCAAAAGGTCCACTCCCGATCAAACTTTTCAAAAATTTTGACTTTTGCCATTTCAAGCCTAATTCCACTACAGACCTCCAAATCACGGTTCGGACATGCTCCTAAGTCCAACATCAACTAACAGAGCTAACAAAACCATCAAAACTCCATTCCGGAGTCGTTTATTCTAAGATCAACATCCGGTCAATTATTTCATGAGCCGTCCTGAGTGAGTCATGTGCATAGTGTGAGGTGAGATTCTGGTATACTCTGTGCCATCCTTTCTAGTCTAGAACTTTCCCCGTGTGTGAGTCGAAGCGAAATGATTAAGTCTTGTAAGTTTGGGAAGTGATATAGGCTTTCCTTGATTGACCATCTAGCTTATTTGCCTACCAATGCTAATATTATCCGTAGTCACCCCTTTTGAGCATGTAGACCTTTTCTTTGGCAACCACATTACAAGCTGAATCCCCTTTGTTCTTAATCAAATCTTGTTGAACCTTTCCTTCCTAAAGCACTTAAGAGCTAGAAGAGTAAAGAAAGAGATTGGGTAGCTTTTGAGTGGAACCATAGAAAGACCGAAAAGGTGCACTTGTGTACAGACAAAAAAAGGTACTAGCCGAAAATACCAAATTAAGGAGAGTGAAAAAAAGAATAATTGAAGGAAAAAAAAGAATAATACCCCCAGTGCCTTTGTCCGGGCTAGTATATATCTATATATTGGTGTGCTTAATGAAGAAGGGCTTAAATGTGCATGATTTCATGGCATGAAATTGAAGTGGTCATGACAAGAAGGTGCTTAGAAGTAATAGTGTATTAAAGTGCTTAGGAGGGTTAGTCACTATTTTCTCAAATATATCCAACCCGTCCTTTAGCCTACATTACAACCTATAAAGTCCTACTTGATCCTAAAATTTGCAAGCTTAAATTAGTGGAGACATACACTATGAGCAAGCCTATGATACGAACTTTGGTGGCATAAGAGTTTCTTTGTGAGAGTGAGAAAATTCTTCTGATTTGAGAGACCTTAAAATATACTTGAACTTATATTGAGTGTGTGGACTGCTTTCTCTATGGTTTGTTGGTGAGGGCACATCATTTGCAAAGGATAGGTAGGGACCTTTATTTTTGAGTTGACACAAGGAGCGAGTCATAGTGTACAATGCATTGGAATCAAGTTTTAAAGTGAGGAGGTTAGAAAGAGTCACATGAATATTTTAAATAATCTTGGTATGAGTTTAAAACTTGAGGAAATGTATGAAGAGTGTATATGTTGGATTCTAAACATTGATATAAACCATTGTCATTGGTGTGATGCTTGAGTATGTTTTGAAAGGTATTTCTTGCCTATGCACTTAATTTTAAGTTGCTCGAGGACGAGCAAGAGTTTATGTGTGGGATGATGATAAAGTATGAAAAATGCATGTTTTGAGTGTGTTTGTGTGTTATTTCTTGTGTGAGTTACGGGAGTTCACACCGCTTTTGAAGTGAAAATATGCTCATTACGTGTTTCTTATGTGTAGGAACAAACTTATGCGGAAAATGATCAAATAAAATAAAAATTGGTGAAAAAAGAACTGAAGAGAAAAGTCCCGGACAGCGAAGCGAGGTTCACTTCGCCAAACCGGGACCGGAGCAGAAGAAATTAGCTTCTCCAATCCAAAATAGGAGAAGGAAAATTCGCCCTATACAAACCCAAGTCGCTATAAATACATCCTAAAACGTGCTTTTGAAGGGGATACACTACTTTGGGGAGAAAGAAGACTTTGGGGAGGCAAGAACACGCTTGGAGCAAGGAGAATGATTCAACTTCACGTTTTTTTCCTCTTTCTTCCTCTTTTCCCATTGTTATGAATTCTAGTGTTGTATTTTTACATACTAGCATGAATAGCTAATTTCCTATCTAGGGTTTTGATGGAACCTTTTGAAGGATGAATTCTTGTTACGTTTTTATATAATTGAGCCTTTGAATTTCTCTACTTGTTTAACTACGCGCTTATTTCAGTTGATTGAAGAGCTCTCAATTGATTGTGCCTATTTAGTATGTATTGCTTGGAAAAGGGTACATATTTAGGTAGTTATTGAACAACATCACTCCTAACGTATGTGAGGAATCAATATGGAAGGTTTAAAGAGGGGATTAGGAATAACGAAACCTTGGTGCGATCTTAGTGAGCGGTGAATTAGTGCCACCTAGCGTAGTTCGGAAGAATATGTCTAGTAAATTGTGGTAGTTTCTCGGAAGAGAATTACGACACCCGAAGTACTCACGATCGGTAAAGAATACATAGACAAATTTATAGGAGACATAGAGAGGAGAATTCTGACGATTGGGAAAATCGTAACACTAGACTTTTCAAATCTTATCTCCAGTCCTTAGTCTTCTTAGTTGATAATTTTACTGCTTTTAATAGTTGCTTGTTAATTAGTTTAAAATAAGAATCACAATCTTTATAACTTAGGAATTGTTTGAGCTGTTATTCTTAGTAATATTGAACAGTTATAGCGAAACATTAATTCTATGTGGGATTCGACTCCGAACTTTTAGACCAGATTATATTTGTAACGACCGCTTATCCTTTTTAGTACTAGAGTTGGGCATGATCACATGCCTTGCCCACACTCTTCCAAAACTCCACCGAGATTTCATCCAGCCTGGTCGCACTGCCCCTGCTCATTTTACGCATAACCCTCTAACCTCCTCAACTCTAATCTGCCTACAATACCCAAAGTCGCAATAACTCCCGAAAAATTCCAAATCACCCAGTATAATGTTCTTGTCTCCTTCCTCGTTTAAGAGACAATGGAAGTAGGTCTGCCATCTCTGACGGATAAGCCCCTCATCCAACAAAACTCTACCTTCCTCGTCCTTGATGCACTTCACTTGGTCCAAGTCACGGGCCTTCCTTTCTCTTACCTTGACTAACCTGAACAACCTCTTATCCCCACCTCGGCCCTCGAGTTCTTCATTCAAACGACCAAAAGCTACAGTCTTGGCCGCCGTAACTGCTAATTTTGCCTCCTTTTTAGCTAACTTATGTTGCTCCTTATTCACCCTTCTCTCATCCTCTACACTTTCCACTAGCTTTAGGTATGCCGCTTTCTTGGTCTCCACTTTTCCTTGCACCTTTCAATTCCACCACCAGTCTCCTCTGTGTCCACCAAAGTAACCCTTCGAGATCCCTAATACCTCCCTAGCAGCTTCACAATCTAAATTTATTTAAATTTTTACTTTTAGTTTGTATCTTTTGCTTTTATTATTAACTATTTTTAACTGTTTCATTTCATTATTTACATTCAAACCATCGTATAAAAGATGGAAAATTAGAAAAACTACAGTATTATTTATGTGACACAGACTAAAATGGCATCCAGAAATAGTGACATATTAGTCTAGCCTTTGAAATTTTCTCGCAAGGAATCGATGCTACCAGCTCTTCCTATTTCTTTTTCCATCTACCAACTATAACAAAGATATTTTTATCTAAAGAGACGTTGTTAGTGTCCAAGCATGAGCAGATAGAAAATGATTTTTGGAGCCATAAAAGCTCAAATCCCACAACTCAAATATTGTCTTTATTCTAGTAAAAATAAAAGCTTCTGTGGCAGTCAACTGGCTTGTGAAGCTCTAACTACACAAACAGTAGCACAAGAATCTCAAAATCTTAGCGGAATCTTCCGTGAGAAATTTTGTATTGTAAAATATACAAACATCAATCCAACAAAGGGCCACCGACACCTATGACCTAGTAAATTTTGTCAGAGAATTAATATTTTAAATGAAAGATCTTACTGAGACCTGTGTAAATTTCTATAAACTTCAAGACAAAAAAAAATTAATGCATGCATTCGATTTTTTCTGTAAGGTAAATGATTTTAATTGCATTCATTTCCTATTAGGTATTATATGACAGCAGAAATTGTCAGTAAGTTGGTAGCTGTTGCAACATCCAATTGCTACATTAGTTGGGCAGTTCATATCAGGAGGTGTTCTCTCCCATACTCTCGCACAATCACAGGCACACTTGTAGTTGGTATCTGGAAAACACCGAAAGACCATGAAATGAGTAGGGATAAAAGGATATAACGGGAAAAACTTACCCGCACACCCGGCCATTAAACAATCAACACATGTCACTTTACAGAATTATTAGTATTTAACTATTGTCAACTAGTTTTGAGATATATCAAATATAATAATATTCTACTAAAATACTTAATATTTCCACATCTCCATTATGCTAACAGTAACATCAAATCGACAGTACTTTTTTGTTTTTGTGCCACCAAGGCCATCATCGGCCATTACGCCATTACCAACATAATTTTTTTTACTTCTACTTGCTGTAAGTATAATTAATTATACAAACATATTTTAGCTTTTATCTGGAAAAGAAATTTTTACATCTGTTTTCATATCGTATGCGTAGTTACAACTAATAATATATGCTTACCTGCAAAACTTATCTACCATAATATATACTTATGGTTGAGTTCTTGGCAAAATACTTTGCATTACTTTCCGGTAACTATCATTGTAAAGGTAAATTCAATTAAAATCGAGCAAAACACCATCATGCTTTATGAAAGATTCTTGCCATTTAAAAGTAGAAAATATAAAAGCTTAAATAAAATTTCTTTATGTTATGTCTCTTAATCTGAATTAGTAGGCTATTGTTTCGGAATACGCAAAGAATGAAGAAAGAAGGCCTCTTAGGCCTTACTTCTTTTACGTTGTTATTTCTTTCTTTTTAATTTTTTATTTATTTAAAATAAGGCTCTTAGATCTTAGTTGTCTTCTATGGTTAGCTTAATTATATTGGGTGTAAACACCCGGTGCAGGTAAGTTTTTTCCGGATATAACTCCTAAACATTTCACATTGCAATTATGAAATCTAAAGAACTAAGGTTGCAAGCAATATTGTGAAATCCACTTACCATGCCATAATCTGTGATGATCATCGAGACACAGTCTGAAGGAGTAACATCATACCTGTTAGAATCATGGATTTAAGTATTAGATGAATGAGAAAATCTTATTTGTCTAATTTCCTTTAAGGGTGGACAAAAAACTTCACTGAGAAAAAGTTCTTCTACATTTGTTCATACGTTTTCAAAAACTTATTACCAGAAGAGCATCTTAGGAGTCGGACTTTCTTTTTGACTAGTGTTTTTTTTTTTGATAACCGTGGTGTCCGGGCCAGCTTGCGCGCACCTCGACTAATTCCACGGGATACCTGCCACCTCCCACCAGCAACATGTACCAGGTAACTCTATCCACCAACGCTTGGATAGATGGGAAGAAATCACCTAGTATTTGCCTCCGCTGGGATTTGAACATGAGACCTCATGGTTCTCACCCACTTCATTGACCACCAGGCCACATCCTTGGGTGCTTGACTAGTGTCTTAGGACTCACATATATGTTTTCTAGCCTAAAATTTTGCACTACAATGAATCTTTGTTTTTCTGACTCACTTCTAGTTGACAACATTCGATTTCTTAAATAACCATTTTTGTCCGGAAACTTTAAGCAAGTTATAGCTTATGAAGGTGTTGAGGCAGTGATTTTAAGAGGAGCAGAGCAGTGGAAAATGACTTTTTCCTAGGTGGGCTCAAGGGCAACTCAGTTTGTTCTTGTAAATATTTTGGGAGGATTCTAAGATTTTGTGCACTTCTACTCCACATTCTTCATAAAATTAAGGTTCAGCCTTTTCTTGATGGCATGAAACTTCTCTTTTCCTAGGTATACATGAATTTCTTTGGTCCCACCCCAATGCCCTTGTAATGTATCTAATGCACATGGTGAAGAAAGCAGATAGACCATAACAAACTCCCCAATCACTAGAAACTCCATTTAACAAAATGACACTATGGACACATAGTTTTATAAAAATCAAAGGAAACTAATAATTTATCCTTCAGTTGTGAGAGAAAATGAGAAGAAGAAAATCACTCACATCAAATTCAGAAGCTGAATATTATCTTTACTTATCCAGTTATCCGAAGAATTTACATCCAGTCTACCAGGAACTTTGGAAATGGCATCTGGTTCACCTGCAATTGAGTTAATAGACAATAAAGCCACACAGATGATATTGGAAATATAATCTATGAATAGGACATACCTAGCTCATTGGAACAAACAGAGTCAAGCTGCACTCTCTCATGAAACTTATAAGCTTCACAACAAATCAGTAGAGGAACACGGAATGCATGAGCAACCATAGCAACGCATGCAGTCCCAATTCTAGAGTAGACGGTCCCATTAGATAATACAGATGCAGCACCCATGAACACTCTAGTGACTTCATGCATAATGTAAGAAACAGCATTTATATGAGTGTATGTACAACACAGGCCCCCCTTCACCAGCCTCCGAAGTAGTGCCTTGCCTTCAAGTTTAGGGCGAGAATCTACCACTATTACACGGAATCGCTTCCCAAGCTCATAAGCATGTAACAGAATCATTTCAACAACAGAGGAAGAACCATATGTGAGAAGAACATCACCATCTCTGATCTTCGTAACTGCCTGTCTTGTTATTACTCTGTCAGCTAATATTATCTTCTCATTAATGAAGCGCTCAATATCTGAGTAAAGAGCGGCTTTTGCTTCTGCCTCAGAAAGAGTTAAAGATAACTTGGCTATACGAGCTTTTAGAAAGCGAATTGCATTCCCCATGCTAATAGAAAGGGGTCTACACTCATTAAAAAATGAAACGTAGCCATTGATTCTTGCTGTTAAATCTCTACCTAGAGCTTTTTCACGAGGTGTAGAGTAATCTTTGATGGCTTGTTGAAAAGCTTGCAGCATTGCAACACAGCGAGCATTGCCCCCAACTACATCCCCAGCCAAATACTGCAGTCCGACCTGGTAAGAATTTCACAAACAATCGTGAAGACATGTGACATTCCTAAGCCATTTAGTGTCATACTAGAATTAACAATGCTTTAAGTCCACATCAAATAAAAATTTATTGGGTATAAGGATATCATAAAGCAAACAAAATTAACCTAAAGTAAGAAAATTATAGAGGATAAATTAGGGAAAGATCCTGTAGCTCAGTAGTTAGAGCATCTGCTTCCTGAAGTACGAAAATATAGAAGATAAAATGAGAGAATATCATCCGATATGGTTTAGCCGTGTACTACTTAGATCTCCAAATGTATCCGTATGTAGGCGAGGTACCATGGTGATTGGAGGGTTTAAAATGGGACGAACGGAATGAAGTTATCTCAAAAGACATATAATTTCTCCAAAACAACGCAAACTTAATGAATAATCGAAAGTAAAGAAAGCGAAAAAATCCATATAGGCCATGCCAACTTATGAGATTTAAGGTTTTGTCGTATTAGTACACTTCCATTAGGTTCAATCATTCAATGTTTGCTAAAGTTCTTTTTAGTTTGTTTAGAGATTTGTATGTCCATAAAAACTGTAGGGGATATCTAGTGTTTGAGAAACCTAAATTATTGAGTAATGGAATGAAACTGGTTCAAAGCGAAAAAAATATAGAGGATTCATATAATGACTCAAATTAGGTTGGGACTGAGGCATAGTGAAAGTCACAACAGCAGTGATCTCAGCAGTCAGGTGGTAATACAGTCGTAGTGTATCTGACAACAGATGCAAGATCAAGAAGCAAGATGATAATGTGCATCTGTCCTTCTCACTTGCTGACTAAAGTCCTCCATGGCAAGCTTAGTATCTTATACAACTACTTCTGTGAAATGTTTCCCACTTTAAAGCAGAAATAAACGAAAATGGGAGATGACGCATAGGGAAGTTACCTTGTAAACTGCAGGATGCATAGGGTCAAGGTGGAAAAACCTTGATTCAAGATCAGGTAGCTGAGTTCCTTGTTCATACTGAGGTAAATGCCGAAACAGTTCTACCCTATTTCTAGCTTCAGTCTTTTTAACTACTGCACGCTTCTTAGCTTTTTCAACACGATTCTTATCATCAAATTGCATCCTAGGAGCAGGTACATCTTTCTTGCGATCTTTCTCTAGGGGTCGGTCACCTCCTTTTGTCTCATGAGTAGCTACAGATGATATCATCGGGCCACTATCTTTCTTTTGTGAAGGCTGCTTAGTAGGTTTACCAGACTGTCCGCGTAACTTTGTCCCAGATGTTTCCCCACCTACATATGATCCAAAAATAAAATAAATTTTACAGAAAGATGATTTAACGACTCAGCAAAAAGATTTTCTGACCTAACTTCAATTAGCATACAGCTTTTGAAAGCTCCAATTAGTATTCACTATTCAGAAATCCTTCCAAGGTAATGTCACAACTATAAACCTTCATTCATGTTTCAGAAACAAAAAAAAGAACAACTATTACTACTACGCTTCAATTCTGAGCTAGTTATGGACTTGTGGTCGACTAATGAATCTTCAATATTCATTTTGCTCCATTTACTGTCGTTTCACTCCAATCCTCAATGATTCAAGAAAGTAAATAAAAAACGAAATGAAAGGAACCAATTCATATCTTAGGGGCAACAAATGCAGATGTTGTTGCGACCGGAAAAGCTATTCAAGAAAAAATTATTATAGGCTCATGCATAACTGATTCATATTGGCAAAGTCAAAGCAGCTTATACAGCTCAAAAAAGAATGTATTTATGGCCAAAAAGGGTAGAAAAATATTAGGCTGAAGAGCTCCTGATGGCTAATGAACAGCACCTAAATTATCAAAGTACCCCATAGTAAAAAATTCTAGAAATGCTACAGATATGAATATAAGAAGGAAAACCTGAAAACAATAATTAAGACTAATAAATTTCTTTGACACAATTTGGTGGTTACAAATGAAAATAAACACGCCTTCAGACATTGACCTACCTAGGTCCTTGAGAATTTTATGGATGGCAAACACATATATATAGTGTATCACTCAGCTAGCTAGTACATTTAATGACTTTACTCAGAGACACACAACTAGATATTCTCAACATCACAAAACGATGGATATTTAAGAATAATGCTAATAACACTTGTAAGAGATGCCAGGTGATGGCGTAGCTTTTTCTCAAAAGGAAAATCAGGATATATGGAGTCTCACAAACACAAGTCATATAAAAACTTACCAAGTATAACTTATCAACTGAAAAGAAATAAAAATATTACCAAGTATATACTCTATCCTCTATCAGTTCCACTATCTTTATATATTTTTTATTTTCTATTAGTTCTCCCATCAAGCATGACTATCAAACAACATGATTGATGTTCCAAAAGCAGCATATCGAATAAACTGAGTTATCCATTAACAAGAAAGAAGCACAAGCAACTGGAAAATGAGGGGATTGCTGACAAAGAGAGGCGTTTAATAGAAATCACAACGTTGATCAAGTACGTAATCCAGCAAATCATATGATTCTAGAAAATGAACAATAACAAAAATCTGAATAATAAAGACACAAACTAGTTAACAGAAGTTGTATCACAAAGAAAGGAAACTCTAAGAACCTTGTTTCCGCACTCCTCCCCTATGTGGAGATAATGTATAGTGGTTGCTTTCCTAACTAAATAGGGAAGATGATTGAAACCTTTTCCAGTAGCTTTTGCAGCTCGTTGAGCCTCCTGCAGTGCACGCCTTTCAGCCTTGGTGCTCTTCCCTTTTAGTGGCTTTCCATTTCTTTCTACTTCATTCGATGTTTCGGCAACTTGTGCACTGATCTGTTCTGCAAGACAAAAATGTTTTTTATCATCATCTGAGAAACACTGGTTCTAGCAAGATCAAAGTTCTTGGGAGGAAGAATCGCTTTTCAGCCCACCTAATTGTAATTAATTGACGAATAAAGGAGTTCAGTGCAAATAATGCAAGCAGGAAAGCATTATTTATCACCAGCATTCTTACTGCTCCTAAGATGTGAAAACTCAGAAATGATAGCTCAGACAAAAGCTTTGAACAACATCAGTAATAATGCTCCACACGTCGTCCTAATTATAACATCAAACATTACCATATAGGGTCCCATACATAATAAGCTACAAGATGATACTGAATGTGCAGAGTATATGGTCTCAGAAGAGTATACTACATAGAATCTCTGGATCTTGTGTTCAATTGATATTTAGGTTTGGGTTAATCTAATTGTCATCTACTCCAAATCGAGCAGAGAATGAAATGAAGAGACCTGAGTGGACAGAGTTACCTGCTACGTGTGTTGGTGTGAGGTCACAAGTACCTGTGCAGGTGGGAGGCAACAGGTACCTCGGTGCTGGTGGGAGGTGAGAGGTACCTGGTGCTGGTGCGCGGTAGCAGGTATGCCAGGAGAGGTAGCACTTACCTCGTGGAATAATCAAAGTGCGTGCAAGCTAGGTGGAACAACACCATCATAAATAATAAAGAAAAAGAGCAAAAGTTCGTCCTACCATTTTAAACAAATACAACAGGACATTTTCCACATTATCTAGCATTGCAAATACCTATACTAAAACTGAGGGATTCGAAAAAAATCATAATGCCCAGTTTATATGGGCTAAATTACAAATGCTAGAGATACCTTGATCGTCTTTCGACTCCGTCAATCGGGCAGCTGAAGTCAAACTGAAGCCGTCAGTCTGACGAATCCAGTGTGTTGAGTCCTCGGAAAACTCTCCCTCTACGCCAATTCCACTAGACGTCGGCGAAGTTCCAAGCACCGACTGCATAGGATTGTAACTTCCTACCACCAATTGCTCACTCTCGTCAAAAGAAGACCGCCGAGGCCGCGACGTCGACGTAGAATTAGGAACAGGGACAGCCTGTGAGACGCTCTCGAAGGCGTGAGGGATCACCGAATTGCCGGGCGGAGATGAGGAAAGCCCGGGATGGTTATCCGGGTCGGAAGTGTGTGGGTCGGGTGCGAAAAAACCCACCCGACGAACTTTTGGATCTATAACCCGAGAGGGACGACGAGGATCCATAGAACCAAAGAGTTAGGGTTTGAACTAGCAGCTGAACTTTTCCTCTGAAATGTTCTTTCGCAGGCAATTCAAACACACTGCTAATGGAACGCTGCCAGAAACTTATATGTTTCTCGCGTTTGGATTTTTTCTTTTTTTAAAAAGAAAGATTTCAAATAAAGTTTGTATAGTAGCATGTCAAACAATGTTCCAATATAATATTCCAATATGATAATGTGATATTCGAAATATTACTTCCTTAAAGGAGAGAATTAAGGAAGAGAATATATTTATATCAATAAGAAAATTTTTAAAATTTCATGTACTTTACTATAGTACATTTGTACATGAAATGTTTTAAATGCCTTTTATATTTAGAAATATTTGAAAAATTATAACAAAGAAAATTGGTTGATTAATCAAAATATATATATGTTGAGTAAAACTAACAAATAATCTCTATATGAAACTAAAAACCTTGTTAGTTCTTTATATTCTAGTAATGAATCAAAGCAGCAAACCAATATAAATCCTAATTCAACTCTACAATTTCATGTGTATAAAAATGGAAAACATTGGAATTAGAATAGAAAATCAATATAATCAAGTTTATCAAAGCAAAATATTCTTAACAAAATTTGAATTATCTTGCGAAGGTATTTCCTTTTTCAATCAGGAAAAAAATTAAAAGGACAAGGATTTTCTCTATATAATATCAAAATTATCATCCATACTATCTAAAATAAGTTTAAGAATTCTATTTATACTAGGTGTATAATGGGGCAGAACACAAACAAAAATACTAAAATAACTTGTTGTAGTGTCCGACACACGGGACGTGCTTAATTCTTTCTACTTTCATTTATATAAGAAGTGGTGTAGAAACAGGTGAAGCAGGGTGTGCTCTCCGTTGACATACCTGCTTCACCTGAGGACATTTTGGTCATTATGAAGTTATTTTTGTTTTAAAAATGTATATTATGCCATTCTGATGGTGGACTTCTGTAGTTCAACAAAGGATTTCTTGATTTCTTGGTAATTTTAAGAATAGATTTCTTGGTAATTTGCTTCGTCAACACAACGCTTGTTAATTAATAAAAGGTTCTGCTAGTTTCATAAGTTCTATTTTACGTGTTTTATTTTTCTAAATGTAATTGCATAGTTAAAAATTAAAGTTACTTTCTATTTTCAACGGTGGTGTGTTTGTTATTGTAATATTGGCTAAGGTAATTAATAAATACGTTTTCTCTCCCCTTTATTTTTTTGGTTGTGATGTTTTTATAATGCCTTTTTAATATTTTGAATTGTTAAGTTTTTTAAACTCTATGATAAAGGTTGAATTGAATCTACTAGGCACTGCAGTTAAACAACTAAGTTCTTTGTATTCTAACCTTTTAAGTTCTGAATCTTGTTTCTTAACTTCATATTTTATGTAGCCATTGTTGAGGTTTTTTTAAGCTTAAAAGAGGGTGAATGAGAAATGGAGGGAAATTAAAAATATTTGAGTTTCCCTCCTTGACAAAGGGACATTGTCCCATATTGGAAGAGAAAAATATTTTGATGGGTATATATACAATTGAACTTCTTCTAGTTCTTAAAGAGTTAAGAAGAAGGCAAGCCTCGCGCCGTCGTCGTCGCTTGCTCGCTCGGCTACGACTTCGGATTCAGATTCGGATTTGGTCAAGTGATAATGTATCGGATCCACTTACAAAAGGCCTAACTAGAGAGGCAGTTGAGAAATCATCGAGGGGAATGGGACTATGGCCGAGAACAAGCCATTGTGGCGGTAACTCTACCTAGAAGACTGGAGATCCCAAGATCTAGGTTCAAGGAGATCAAACAAAGTCATTAATAACGGTTCAGCATTGTCAATTAAAGGTTTGGTCCATTCTCGTGATAAGATAATGTTCAGTACCAAGGATAAAGCATTAAGGCTTTTTAATAATTTCTAAATTTGATACGGGGTATATCAAATAGTGTATCGATGGGATGACACGTTTAGGAATCACCTATATAAGTGTGAAGTGTTAGCCGCTTCAAGGAGAACTTTGTAAGGCCAATTCTCTACACACTTATAAAATCAGGCGGTGTTCAAGGCTGAAACGAATACAACAATGAGAGCCAAAGGCGGTTAAGGGTTGGTTGTGTGATTTATGCTTGTCTAGGTATACACCAAAGTTTGACAATTCAAAGATATCAAATCTAACGATTGACCGAGTATATCCGACATAAGTTCACTACGGAAAGTTCAAAGGGAAACCTACTTATCCAGATGCAATTAATCCTTGCTTGCGAATCACACAGTTTTTCATGTATATTTTTGTGATATAGCCATTCCCCATTCATGTGGGAGATTGTTGGGCTTTGTTTTAATCTTAAATGTAGCTTAAAAGAGGGTGAATGAGAAATGGAGGGAAATTAAAAATATTTGTGTTTCCCTCCTTGACAAAGGGACATTGTCCCATATTGGAAGTGGAAAAATTTTTGATGGGTATATATACAATTGCACTTCTTCTAGTTTTTAAAGAGTTAAGAAGAAGGCAAGCCTCGCGTCATCGTCGCTCGCTCGGCTCGGCTTCGGCTACGGTTTCGGATTTGGTCAAATGATAGATTGATTGATTAATTTTTTGGACCAATTTTTTTTGTTAATAATAAATATTAACAGAAATGTTTTAACTCTTATCCAACATAAATGATATTTTTTTTAAAGCTTAAATGTAGCTTAAAAGAAGGTGAATGGAAAATGGAGAAAAATTGAAAATATTTGAGTTTCCCTCCTTGACAAAGGGACATTGTCTCATATTGGAAGAGGAAAAAGTTTTGATGGGTATATATACAATTGCACTTCTTCTAATTCTTAAAGAGTTAAGAAGAAGGCAAGCCTCGCGCCGTCGTCATCGCTCGCTCGCTCGGCTCGGCTCGGCTTTGGCTACGGCTTCGGATTAGGATTTGGTCAAATGATCGATTGATTGATTAGTTTTTTGTACCAAATTTATTTGTTAATAGTAAATATTAACAGAAATGTTATTAAATATCCAATTTTTTATAAACAGAATATTAATATTAAATTCGACATAAATGATATGCTGATAATGAGTAATGAGATATATGTGGATGATATGCTGATAATTTGGTCCAAACCGTTGGCACCAATATGCATAAATTGCGATAGTCAAGCGGTAATTGGAAGGGCTGGGAGCGTGATGTATAATGGTAAATCTCGTCATATACAACGAAGACATAAAACCGTTAGGCAATTACTCTCTAGAGGAATTATCACGATTGACTATGTAAAGTCAAGTGATAATGTGTCAGATCCACTTACAAAAGGCCTAACTAGAGAGGTAGTTGAGAAATCATCGAGGGGAATGGGACTATGGCCGAGAACAAGCCACTGTGGCGGTAACTCTACCTAGAAGACTGGAGATCCCAAGATCTAGGTTCAAGGAGATCAAACAAAGTCATTAATGATGGTTCAACATTGTCAACTAAAGGTTTGGTCCATTCTCGTGATGAGACAATGTTCAGTACCAAGGATAAAGCATTTTGTAATGCCAATTCTCTACGCACTTATGAAACCAGGCGGTGTTCATGGCTGAAATGAACACAACAATGAGAGCCAAAGACGGTTAAGGGTTGGTTGTGTGATTTATGCTTGTCTAGGTATACACCAAAGTTTGACGGTTCAAAGATATCAAATCTACCGATTGACCGAATGTCACGACCTAATTTTCCCTCCATTGGGTATCGTGATGGCACCTAGTCTTAGGGACTAGGTAAGCCTAACAATAATTAAAACAACAACATTATTTAATTAGAATCTCTTAAAATTCCCAAAACCAGTAGTACAAGTCATAAGCTCTACAGAGTGTTTGCTAGAAAACTTATAAATACAACTGTCCAGAAGTAAGAATAAACAGTGCAAAACGAAAACTGGAAGGTGACTCCGAAGCCTGCGAACGAAGCAGCAGGTTTACCTTGAGTTTCCACAGCAACAGTCCACACAGCTAGCTAACGAACAAGTACCTGGATCTGCACAAAAATATACAGAAGAGTAGCATGAGCACACCGCAGTGGTGCCCAGTAAGTATCAAGACTAACCTCGGTAGAGTAGTGACGAGGAACAGTCAAGACACCCACTGGTCTAATAAACCGAACAAATATAAGTACATGAATAACAAAAGTATGATGTCTACATAAAGACTATACAATATGACTCACAATACAGTGATGCATTAAAGCAAGAATCAACAAGTATTAGCAGAATATCATGAAAATGACGCAGACAAAGTGAGTGAAACACAACCTAAATCCGGAATCACAAATACAACAAGGACAATAATAACTCAGTAATTACAACCGCTTTTACATCAGGTTTTAGTCAACAACTCCACGAGGTACCGAACCTCGGACAATTTACAATCTCACGGGTCTCAATACCTGAACCCTAACACTTGACAACCTGTGCTCTCATAACACCTCATAACCACACTGACGACTCACGTGCCAATAGAGCCATTCTCACATAGAAGGCAAGTAAACAAGGGTGAGAATCTATGCTCAATAATATCAAGAACACCTCTTATTCGATAAGAGTGCTTAATTACGTGTATGCTTGTGCAAGTATCCTAACATAATCCATACCAGCAAAATAGCATAAGGAAGAAGAAGAACGGACAACACGTAGAATATTTTCTCACAGCTTTCACAATATCAAGCTCACACAGGTACGTATACCACTACACAAATATCAACAACAAGAATGCCCCCAGGCCATAAATCATCACAAATCAATCCATGACATAGCCCACCTTATTTCGCCACGTGTGTAATAGAAACATAAATGCCCGCCTTGTCTCGTCACACGTGCAAAATAATATTCCCACCTTGTCTCGTCACATGTGTAACCCACACATATATATATCCCACCTTGTCACGCCGTATGTGCAAATATCAATAGTAACAATAGCACGACAGAAACCTCGTGCAATCCCATAACAACAATCGCACGACAGAAACCTCGTGCATCACCACAACAAATACAACAACAACAATGGCAATAATACAAAGTACGACAAGTAAATCAACTCAAGAACTTTTAAATCACAGGAAAATGTGGGACCAAATCACA